CAAAGCAAAATTATGATTGAACTAAAACAGCTTAATACATTTATACCAGTAAATGGTTTTATTTGAAGTTATATTTAGTATGTTTGAAGAATTACACCAGGTTACCATTCGTTGTCTTCATCTTATTTAATCCAGTGGCATACTTGACTGCTGTGGAACAAGTGGCTGTTTTAGTGACTTCAACTACTTTGATAACTAGGGTAGTTTAGCTGCACAGTACTCTTATGTTAAGTCTGAGACTTTATGAACAGACCAAATCAAACTGCATCCCAGTGGTTCAATTCTGAATGCCAACTGATATAGCACATAATGATAAAAATGCTTACTGAAATGACAACTGAACAGTATCCAGTGACAATGAGTTGTAGCTACATGTACCTGTAGATGATATTAGATGTTAAAGATTGAGAACACCATGTGTATTTAGTTGGCAGAATGCTGACCTTGATCTCTTGACCCTTTGCAATCTTCTGTCAAGCAGCAAGTAAGACAAAATCATGAAGGTGTGAACACTGGACCACAAGGGATTACCGTGAAAGCCACCCAGCAAGATCTTCGATTGTCAGAAAAGTACTCACAAACAGAACAAACTGGAATTCACCATTAGTACCAACTGAGATATATATAAAATAAACTGACAGCAGCCCAGCACAACAACAGCTGCATTCATTTGCATGTACCATACCTTGTTTTAAATAAAAAGTCATACTTACGAGACAAAACAGAACTTATCCAAAACATGGCACACACATACTTGTTACTAACCAAGCCTCAACAGAATTACATTTCCACACGTGATAAATGATTAAGATGGAGCTGCCATCAGTTTCTGTTTTTACAGAATTAAGTTTTCTGTCAGCATGTCTCATTACGCCAACACACTCCGTACTTGTAAATAGTTGTACTACGGAAAAAAAAATATATATATCACTGAGATGTTTAAGGAACACATTCACTTTAAGAGGGGAGGAAAGAGAGAAAAAGGCACACGTTTCACACCTGATGGTAATTAATAATAATCAACCGGATCTTCCTTCAATCAACTGGCTTCACCTGTGCCATTATCTTCCCTTCCCACAATGGCAAAATCTCATTGTCATCAGTTATTTCTTCTTGAATCACTCTCATGTCCAAGTCATCACACTCCGTCTTGAAGAAATACCTGCATCAATCAATTCTATGCTATACTGACACAACAACCACAATGAATAAGATGCACTACTTATAGATAATATGAGAATACAAACAGATAGGAAAAGGAGAGCCATGGACTGTGGACACAGTAAAGTGACTTTATGGGCTGAATAAATGTCATTCAGCTCATGTACAGAGCAATTTTTCTCCACTTCATCTCCACACCCAGATGGGCCCAGAGTCCCAATCACTCCCTTACCTAATCAGTACCATGAGATGGCATGATGATCTGGGTGAAACAGAAAATGGATATTTTGGGAACAGATATGCATCTGAAAAACTAGTAATGTTCAAGGACAAAGTCTTACACAAAACTGTGGACTTATCTTCAAGCTAGCTTGGATATGGAATTAACACTGATTGTCCAGTAAGCATGTTATGAGAATTATGACTTAAAAATTATTATATATTTCCCTTCACTGCTGTGTAAGAATATTAATGATCACATTCATAGGCTTACTTTTACTACAAATTGTAAGATTCATTTTCATGCATTGAAATGATCCAAATAACATACTATAGATGAAGATATGAATGATGAACAAGGATATGAATGGAAGTTGGTGTCATCAAGGTATAATCATAGACCTAGAGACTGAGGAAAAGCAAAATAAATGTCAGTTAGGATAGCTGGCAACCTGATCAAGATCCAAACCAGATACCTCTGAAATGTAAGTCTACAAAGTTATGCTATGCCAATCTAATCAGTTTGACTGAATGCTCAAAGGTGTCCGTATCACCTCATAGCTTAAAAGTGTGATATGGAATACAAATGGCTCAGACAGGGTCCAACAGTAGGCTTCTGTAATAGGACAGAGTTAGTTACTAGACAATTACATAATGAAAGGAATTACAAACTGCTAAGGAATATAGGTCTCTCACTCACCGATAGCTGCCTTTTTTGGGCAAGTATTCCTTGAACTGCCGCAGTGTGACAGACCGTCCAGGAATCTTGGTGCGGTATGGGAACTGTTCATCACAGAATGAGAAGACAACTGTAGTGAACTCTGAGCTCTCCATGCAGGTGGCTGCCCCAGGCAAGGAACTGCGACCACCACGTAAACTCTTGCGTAATGTTGACTGACCAGACAGAGGTGCATCTACAGGCATGTGCATCGTTGCACCAGCAGTTTTCAAGGATGATATCGCAAACCTATCATAAACCAATACAGTGTTCTGAATATTACTTACACTGAGAGAATTTCTGAACAGACATCACATACTGCAAATATCAGATTAATAAATATGAACACCATGGGGAAGTAAACACCTTCAGCACACTACTGCCAGTTAGTGGCTCATTTGTATTAATCAGTACTGAATGGTTTTATTTAAATAAGTCAATAGGAATACCTCTGTCGTGCTGCCTTGCTACGACCTTCCTCTTCTAGTAGCCTGCGTCTTGCTTCCTCGAGCTGTGTGGCTGTATGTGGGAGTGGCAGTGGTGGCATTGATGGGTCTGCTACAAATGGCTGAGCAGGGCCCCATGCCCCACCAGGGCCTACCCCTCCATTGCTTCCACGTTCCAGAGAGCCTGACCGAGAAGTACTGTACGCTGCCGTTGGTTTTCGACTGTGCCTGCATAAAGGCACAACTTGGTTAAACATTTATTTCCTCTAAATGTTCTAAATATAGAACTTTTTAGTGTATTTATGCACATACAAGAGTGATGTTTGACTTCTGAAACCAGAGCAAAATTATCTTTGAGAAACACTGAAAGTACTAAGCCTGCATCCAATATAAAAATAATTTAATTAGCATTTCACATTTCTCATATCATGCTGATGTGATAGAACACTGAACATGATTGAGAACAGGATGCTGAGAAGAATATTTGGAGCAGAGATGCAGTGACAGGAGAGAGAGAAAATTGCATGAGCTCCCATAATCTGTACTAATCACTAGCTATTATTTGGATGATAAAATCAAGGACATGGACAAGGCATGTAGTATGCATGGGGAGATGAGAAATGCATACAAAATTTTGGTTGGAAAGCCTGAAGGGAAGAGACCACTCAGAAGACATAAGTATAGACAGGAATATAATAATAAAATGTATGCTAGGGAAATAGAATTGGAATGTGTAAACTGGATTTGTCTGGCACAAGAGAGAGACAATGGCAAGCTCTTGTAAACAAAGCAATGAACTTTTAGGTTCCATAAAAGACAGGGAATTTCTTGAGAGCTGATTGTACTATTAGTAGCTTTTCAAAAAGGGACCTGCTGTATAGATGGAGCTGGGTTATTCTGTAACTTTGAAAGAACGAATGAAAACAAGAATCAATTACTTTTTTCACCTATGACTTTCCCACTTTATGTGGTTTGCCTGAAAAGTAAAATATGCGTGTAAAAGAAAATTCATTCATATAAATTCTAACACTAAAATCTATTAAAAACCCTTTCAGAAATCTCTGTACTCTTTTCTTTTTTTTTTTGGGATCACAGCCATAAAGAATTATGAAAATTTAAAACTGTCCAATTAAAACAAAACTTTTAAATAATTTGTCTGATATTTAGACGTAATGAAGCTTTACCTGGTTGCTACAGGAGAGGTGGTGGAAGGATCGTTCCTTCGCACACGATGCTTCGAGGCCTCTCGCTCACTGTGACAGTGCGATGCAGCAGATACCAGCTTATCGCTATCCAGCAACCATGACAGAACCCTACTACAGAGAAATGGAATGCACTTAATTTCTGTCAGTATTACAGTGCAATATGAACTACAGGAAGAAAAACAGCCCACAGAATGGAAACTGTTTAGTTGCAATGAATGTTTCTTTTTTCATGCTTTTTGCTGTACTGACATTATACTGCACAGCTCCAGCGAACATTTTATCAATACATATTTTATGATCTCACAAAAAAAAACACAAATTAGAACAGGCCTCAACATATTTTCTATAGACCTAGGTGTCATTATAATCTAGACATACTGAAAAAGAAAATATAATTATTTCTTTTAACTAGTGGTTATAAAACACATACCGCCTTTATCAAAATTTCATACTATAAAATAAAATGTATTTGAATAAGTGAAATATTTGTGAGTTTAACAATACTATCAACAGCTAGGATTATAGTGTCTAATGACAGGACAATAGTGAAAGAAGGTGGAAGATAATGGCCAAAGCCTAACTTAAATTATTATCCAAGCAACTGCAAGGAGGCACTGAGAAAAAACAACAAAAACCTGCCAGGATAGGTTGTCTTGAGGCCAAGATTTGAAACTGGGACCCTTGAATATGAAGCAGGGATGCCAACTTTTTGACTGTGACATTCAGTGATAAGGAAATCAATCACACACAATTGTGTCATACTTTTCTATAACAATTTCATAAAAATGTACAATATTTCTGTTTCTTCAGGCTATCTCTTCAACTGCATCAGTACCCAAAAAACCTAAATCAGGACAATTTTAGTAACTGAAAAGTAACGAACTTGTCTTTGCACTGTGTACTGGGGTGTGATGTGACTGGCGTGCTATCTGAGACAACGCTCACACCACTGTCAGTCAGCTCCGTCGATGTCTTCTTACTGCTTGACTTCCTGTTTGAATCTCTACTTTGGCGGAATCTGAAGTCATGACCTGTAACAAATGCAAGAGCTCAATTACTGTATTTACTCAAATATAGAATGATACCCATTGTCAAAACTTGATTCATAGCCCAATGCAGTATTATTTTTGTAATTCTATTTTATCTTCTTGAAACACAAACAGATTTCTGTCTGCAGTACACACATTACTCACCAGGCAAGTCTTGTTTCTGTACATCCTGATAGTCGGGCATTGACTTGCTCTTGGGCATGTGTCCACTGCCCCCATGATGCTTATGTTCTGACCCCTCAGGGAAGTCATGCACATTTCCAGAGTCTGACGAGAATGTTGAAAATACATCCTGCAGATAAGAACAAAATTTAAAACACGTTTCACTATTTCTAATATAGAAAACTGACACCCTACAAAGATATTTTTTTTCTAATGTCTCCACTTATGGTTATTTGATATGTACATTCTTGGAACAAGAGGTAGGAGTTATTGTAATTGAGAATTCCAGTAATTTCCTATATATAGGTATTGATGCTGAGCAGTGGCTCCACATCTTTTCCTGCTGGAACACTAATTTAGCCGCTATTAGATCATCCTTTTGTGCTCTATATTCATGATCTGTCTGAGAACCCCGTATGCCCAAACTTGGGTGGCAGGACACGGACTTGAATGAAGGATGCAGATTATGACTGATACACAGGACATAGAAAAATTGAGGCTCTTAACTACTACATCCAATACTCTCAACATTCATCAACTCAAATAGTCAAAAAGTTAGGAAATATATGCATGGCCCTTTCCTTATGATATTGTGTCTATATATTCTATACGTAAAAATCTTTTGATGCTCTGATTAATAGTGTAAAACAAGCATGGCAGATAAACATGCCACTCCAATATAAAATGTAATTTATATCAGTCCAGTGGTTATTGAAACATGACCTAACACAGCATAAAATTCCTTCTGTTGAATTATCTTGAAAACTTCAAAGACTTACAGAAAAAGTGTGTCATACTTCCTCTAACACTTTTGTCAGCATATCTTACTCTGAATGTGATTGTTAGTTATTATTGATGCTATGAAACTGCACTGTTGAAACTTGTAACAAACTGTGACCATGTTGAACTTAAGTACTTACTTTCTCCTTACGCATGTGGCGAGGGTAATATGCCGGGCGTGAATGGGACTGGTATGGATGAGGCACGCTGTGAATCAGACCCATGTTGGTGGAAAGGGACGGAATTGCTGCACCTGGTAACACTCCTGCTACAGCAGATACCTAAAAATTCATACCATGATCAGTCACTTGCTATTGCCTGTGAGCCTAATGCATTAACAGTTTTCACATATAATGTCATACCTGCTTATGCACAAAATCAGAGACTTATAAACACTATAATCATTACAGTGTTCTCATTTTTCTTACAAAACATTTTCCACTGTTTACTACTTCCTTTCTTTAAATTCAACACTCAAAAATCACAACTAAATTCATGGGGCACGGTTCTTCACGGGAAACTTGTATTCACTCAAGTGCTTATGAAATTCTCTGGTTCTATGGAACTATGATTACAAGATCCAATCATTGAACTTATCCCTAGTCAATTCAAACATCTCTAATTACTAAAAGTCACATAATATAATTCTCCAACCTATGCCAATCTCCAACAAGCCTACTTACTTGTCAATGACTAAAATTTTGCATGCAATTTTTATCTCCTTGTGCAAGCTACATATCCTGCCAATTTCATCACCCTAGCAATCATGAAGCTCCTCATTACATTATTTCCTCTATACTCCAGTTACGTTTTCTGTCAATATTCTCCTCAGAATTTTGTTCTAAAGTATAATGTATGCTGTTTTCTTAATCCACATTAAAACAACATGTAAAAATTACGGTCTTGTGTATTTTAACTTTAAGATTTCTATAGATGAGGAGATTATAAATGGCTTAAAACTGAACGGTTGTATGCATTACTCAATCTAATCTGTTATTAATTTCACCATAAAAGTAATTCTGATTTGTTTCTGTCATTCCCAGTTACTTCAATGCTATCAAAATTTTGAAGGATTTTATTATAAATTAGCCCTGTATTCTAGTGAGAAGACATGAATCTACATTTACATTTCAACATAGAAAAATAGTTTATGATTGGTACAACAGCAATGTATTAAATGTATTAAAGATTAAAAAAATCATATGCATGATAAACTTACGTTTGGTATGTCCTTTGTACTAACGCTATACAGTCCATAAGCAAAGAGCTGCACAATGTATTTTTACCTTGCTAAGGGCTATAGCCGCCCCAGGTACCGTCCTGCGTCTGCCCTCTGGAGACTTAGGTCTAGGAGATATAAGCCCAGGAGTGCGTGAAGGGGTTAAGTCTGACCACACTCGTGATACATGTTGATCTGAAAATCACATTACATTCTGCATGTGAGTGATGAACAACAGGTCCACAAACACACATAAGGCAAGGGTAGCAGTTTAGTTTTACTCTGCATTTACATATATGATATTATCATTACAAAAATTATAATTTTTAAACAAGCAGAATTACATTTGTAGTGCAGAATGACAGTAATTTTCATTAAAAAAAAAATTCAGTCACTGACACCTGCAACTTGCAAGTTCATAAATATGAGGAAAAGGAAGACTGTAGGAAGACGGAAGAGACTGGAGATCATCAGAGAAAAAGAAAACTTTGAAAAACTGCAGTATCAAGCACATAACAGCCTCATACTTTATATTAACATTTCTGTCCACTGATATGGGAAAATGATATCATTCACATCCTCAAAATCACAAACTGGATCACCACATAACTTTCATGAATGATGTCCACATGGACAAGTTGATATCATGCTGAGCCTACAATACAGCAATAAATGGACAGTGCACATACCAAGTATGGCCTGGTCACTGTCATCATCAGCTAACAGCTTCTCCCTAATAGCATCTGCCAGACTGTGGGGTGTAGCTACTGAGTCCAGGACAGTTCCATCCTCTTGACCACCCACCAGTTCCCCCTGTTGGCAGAGAATCATGTTCTTTATATGATGTTTGTGTTCACTACATATATAAGAACCAATTTCAGAAACTGTATTACAATAAAAGCCTTTGAACCATCTATCTACCTACCTACATGGTACATGGTTTTAATTTCAAAGCTGACAGTTACTCAGTGGTCTAGAAATGTTATAGAATCTGATGGTTCATACCATGCTCTCAAAAGCCCACCATTCAAACCTATATTGCACCAGTTCAATCTAGGCCACCTCTCCACAACCTGTTTAACAAAGATTCATTTTAATATTGCAATGGCCACAATGTAGAGAAACATCACTGCCACTACTGTAATGCTGTCTACTTGCTGCTGCCTACTGTACCAGCCATTATAACAATGTCCTGAATGAGAGTAGACAGGCGTCAGGTGATATCTCTCATACCACAAGACTTAACTCTTCCATACTCTTCACCTGATTTTCCCTCAACTCTGATCCACAATCGTCCCTAGCACTCGGAGATACAACTTCTATAGCCATTGGCCCATCCGTGGAATGTTCCAAGACAAGGATCTCAAAGGTTATCCTTCCAGAAAGTTTCTATGCCCCTCGGGAGGGGAATACGGCGCCTGGAATGTTCCGTGATGGCGGTGCCCACAGCCCGTTTCGCACCAGCCATGGAAAGGAGCCAGGCAGCCCCTCCCCTCCAGAGCGAGCTGTCGGCCATGTCACAGCACATTTATTGTGCTAACATTAAATAACAGACACATAACAGTGAAAAACGTCTCCTTCACATACCTCCTGCAGCTTGCGGTCCAGTTTCTCCTGAGCATCCTGTTCATGCCTTACAAGCTCTAGCTTCTCTATCAGGATGGAAGCGAACTCCTCTGGCTTCATGGGATAAACCTGTATAAACAATAGAATCCTGTGAGATGAGGCTAAGAATGTGAGAATAAGAAGGGTTGGCACAATAATACTATATAACAATGCCCATAAATCCTTTTACTGATCTTCCAACATTTCCCTCCTTTGTGGTTTGTAACTTACCCTGATTGATCATATGTCACATGTTATGTGTAGTCCAATTGGCAATGTGTCACACTAGTATACTGCTAAACTATTAACCTCAAACTTTAATTAGCCTGGTAGGCAGACTGAAGTACTTACACTCATATAATATAACAAACTTGTTCTCACATTCCTACATTCTAAGTAACAGTATAATAAAAATTTCCTGCCTATGTGGTTTTAATCTATAATTTATTCACAGATTTTTCCATTTGCTGAAATTTTACTACCCAAGAAAGAAAGTTTTCAAACCTCATCTAACATCATGCACAACTACATTTTTATCCGGTGTGGGTTAATTTTCATTACTTGCCTGTTCTTTCTGTCGCTGGGTGCGAGGAATCATCATATGGTGCATGTAAGGGTCCCTATTCACTCTAGCACTTTCCTTTATGCGTTTGCTGTCGTGCAGGTACTGTTTCTTGTTGGTGCAACGGCTGTGACCCCCATCACTGAAACAGGACAGCAATGATACACTGAAAATAATACAGGGGACCACTGTCACAAAAACTCTCATAATTCCTAGTGATTGCATACCTTTAAGATACACACAAAATGTGCAACTTACTGGCACTGAATTTCAGATATGAGAAACAGGACAATGTATGCTGTTTAAACGTACTGCTGCAACATTCAACTTTACTATGTTAGCTACAAAAATAAAAATTGTTGGTCAGCACAGTGCCATCATCTGGTGTGAAGTTGCATGTAAATGTCACATGTCTACCATGCTGCTGAAAGTTCTGTGTTTGAACATGATATTGACATTTGTGGTGATGTTTCTCAATTTTTTGCAGTTATATGATTGTACATATCTGTATCATAAATATAACAGAGTATTTGATTTGTATGTTGGTAGTTTGTGATTTTTATTCATACACATATATAATATGACACTGAAAATAAGTTATGAACCTTTACGCTATAATTAGATTCCTTTAGGATAGCAGTTAATGAAATAATGCACACGAACGTGACATTTAGCAATCTGAATTTCTCACTTTATAATGATGAGAACAGTTCTGGGAAGCTCCCCTCTCCTAGTTCTTCAATCATACCCATCCAGGTCATTACAAAATCATAAGATCACATTTTGAATCCAATTTACATTACTACAATGTTTTATTATAAGATCGATTTGTTTGCAGTAGAACTTCTATGACAATATATTACAGATCATATTTGCTATGTGACTCTCAAAAATTTCCTGAAATACTAAAATGTACTAAGGACAAAAATATCATACCAATAAAATGTATAATCTATAAATATATATATTTTCCTTCATTGCATCCAATAAGATATGTAGTACAGCTGTCTACATATGTAAGTACAAACATGTAATGTCTTCTATCTAGGGATTTCTGTAGAAGTACATGGTAATGCCAGCAAATGGCACATGCAGATAAAAACGGAAGGATATTCAGCACCAGCAATAAAAGGGAATTATGGCCTCATTCTATTGCATGCATTGGCACTGATAACAAATGAACAGTAAAGAAAGATTCTTTTGGTAAATAGTGGCGGTGTACAGAAGCTGCCATGACTCAACACACAGAAGTGGTCGGAAGGGAGAATAATACTTTGTGGGATAATCAAGAAGTTGGGAGTGTTGGCAGCAAACAATGTGAGACACGATGGGAAATATGAAGGCAGCAGTGATGCTGAGATAGAAGATAGCGATGGTAAATGATGCATGATTGGTAAAACTAAATAAAGGCCAGTACTTCTAGAAGGAAACTAAATATAATGTGTGACATGTTTTTAACCTTCATTGTTTCACTTATCTGCTTGTTGTAACAGTACGCAATTAATATAAAATCACTTCTCATATTCCATGCATATCCTTCTTACAAATAAACTGCAATCTCAAGTATGAGCACATAACTGTACTTACACAGAGCTCTCCTTGAGTGACATGTTGTCTGACTCTGTCCGAGCATCAGAGCTGAGGGACTGCAGTTCACTATCCTGCCGCGACACTGGGTTATACGAGGAGTAGGCCGTGTGGGGGTGAAGGGTGAGGGCAAAGGGGTAGTGAGCATGCTGCAAGTACATCCTAGCCAAAACAAATGAAACAAAACATAACAAAAGCCATGGCCGCAGGCAAAAATTCTAAATTAGCCATTCAAATTATAGCAAAAAAATCAGCACTTCTTAATAAAATTAGGCTGTCACTTTCTTCTCTAAAAATACAAACACTTTACAGCCGTACAAATGCACACAGAGTCTACTGCACACTCTCTTCTTGAGGCAGAATATTTTGTCTACGGCCCTCAATAAAGCTAAATAAAAATAGTTAAAGCATTAATCAAACAAAGCAAATTGAAAACTAATCCAACCAGAGGCTAGGAACTTCAAAATAATAAACCACTAAGAAACTCAAGTGCTGCAACAACCAAGATAAGCATTAACAATTTCTCTGTGACTGCTGAATAGAGCATCTTCTCTTCTATAACCTAATGTAGTGACCAAGCTGTTTACTATGACATGCTACAGCAGTGTGTCAGTATCTTCAAAATGGTGTCAGGTTTACCTAAAAATTGTAATATGCCACAAATGCTTCTTCTTGAGATCATATGATTCACAATCGGCCAACCTTTAGATTCTATAATGCAGCAGAGAAAACACCATCACACCACGTCTCATCTACATCTGCTACTAAAGTTCTAAAAATTTAACATTTCAGAAGTTTGACGCCAAAAATTTATTATATTTAGAAAATATTTAAATCAATGTTGAATGAAACTCTTCATTTTTAAAATGAGTACAGTGACCACACAGACACGTCAAACCTGAATATGGCTGCACACAGCTGAAATATGTAGCTCGACAAACACTTAGAAAGCGGTAAATGGCGTGTGTGAAAGTGACAGTTAAAACAAACATAAAGAATTTGCATAATACCTCCCAAGAGTGTTATTAAAATGGATCACCCACTCACCACTTGTACCAGGGTGAAATATAACACACACATGTAGAATATGCTTTCTCAAATTATATTTTACTCTATTCTCCGTAGCAGGCCCTCTGAATTTTGTCTAAAATCATTTTCACACAGTCTGGAAGTGATAATAATAATAGAAGTCTGCATGTCTACACCTTCATCA